TACCCAGGAGGTTGATGAAGTGAAGTTCATAGGCTTGTCTCTGAGAAGTGTTTTTTAAGTTTCCTTTGAGGATTACAACTGAGAGACTGGAGAGAGAGTGAAATGTGCCCCCACCGGTAGTTGGGTATTCTCGTCTTTGATAGATTTCCAGTGTGCATTCATTCTGGTGTGCAGTTGTTGTTTGGTCTCTCCTACGTATTTTCCATCAGGGCATTTGGTGCATTGGATGAGATATATTACATTTCTGGAGATGCAACTGTGAGATCCAGGAATGTTGATGGCTCTGTTGTGGGGTGTAGTAATAGTGGGGGTGGTGGAGATGTGTTGGCAGGTTTTGTATTTCTTGTCATGGCATGGTCTGGATCCATTCAGTGTGTTCTGGGCCTGAGGAAGTTTGTTTTGGTGATGAGGTTAGCAAGGTTTGGTGCTTGTTTGAAGGCTAGGATGGGTGGCTCTGGGAAGATCTCTTTAAGAACAGGGTCTCTTTTTAGTATAGGTTGCAATTGTTTGAGGATTTTCCATATGGGTTTGAGGGAGGGGTGATATGTCATAACCAGCGGTGTGTGATTCATGGGGGTTTTTCTTCTGTACTATAGCAATTCCTCCAGTGGTATCTGGGTGGCTCTTTCAAATGTGCGATCTATCTCTCTGGAGGAGTATCCTTGTTGGGTGAAAGCCTTTTTAAGATTGGTGAGGTGCAAATTTGGTGCTATCTGAGGGCTTGGCTGTATATCACAGCTTTTCTGGTGTGTTTAGGGTGACTGCTGGTTCTGTGCACGTATAACAAGGTCTGTATTTTGCCAGTATGGATGCTGATCATCATGTCTAAAAAGGAGATGTTGGTGCTGGAGTATTCAAGAAATAGTTGGATGGACGGATGGGGATTGTTGAATTTCTGATGGAACTCAATCAGAGATTGCAGGTTTTCAGCACAAATGATGAAGATGTCATCGATATATCTTAAGTATAGCAAGGGTTTGATGGTGTAGTTCTTGATGAATTCTTTTTCCAGGTGACTCATAAAAAGGTTGGTTATTGTGGGGCTATTTTGGTGCCCATAGCTGTGCCCCTGGTCTGGAGGAAGTGTTGGTTATTAAAAGTGAAATTGTTGTGTATGAGGATGAAGTGTATACGGTCAGTAATATCTTTGGGTCTGTACTCTGAGTTGTAATCTTGCTCTTGTAGATATGTAAGGCAGGCTTGGATGCCATCCTGATATGGGATGTTGGTATATAGGCTGGTAACATCCATGATGGCTAGGAGGGTTTTGCTGATCCTGGAGTAGTCTGACTACTCTCACAGGAGCTAAGTAAGCACACAGATCTGCAAAGGTACCACACATGGATCCAAAGCTGCTCTCTCAAAATACATACAAACTCAGTTCTGGGGTGGTCTAGTCACTCTCACAGAGCACCCAGGAGCCCCTCCGCAGTGTACTTCTATAACTTCTGATTTCTGTCACTCAAAGCTGTCTTTTACTTTTACCTCAGAAATCTCTCTTGGTCTTCCCACCAGTTTCACACTCATATCTGCACATGCTCATCATGTCTAAGTAGGTCACGAGTTCCTGAATTCACTCATTTTAGAGGGTTCTCAAACTGACTACTACTGTGCATGCTTAGAGCTTTAACATTGCATCAACAGTACTGAAATTGTCTCCAGTAGGTGTAGTCTGAACCCGTTGCACTGGCTAATTCCTCTCATAAGAAACCTGAATGCCTTCTCTGCAAATCTCCTGTTCCAACAAATATGATTTTCTTGTTCTCCTACAGTAAAAGGAAGAATGAGCTACACATGGTCCAAGTGTTGTGGCTTGGAAGCTCACCTCAGACACGCTTCAGAACCTGCTTTGCCTTCCAATAGCCCTGGATACCTCCCTTTAAAGCCTACTACCTTCCTTCCTTGTAAAACTGGCATCAGCTGTGCAAACAATTTAGTTTCCTAAAGTTTAAGTCAAAAGGCCAAGTACAATGATGAAATAACTCCTAGAATTTTAGTTTACACCAGGGTGAAGTGAACCTGTAACATCTTCTTCTTAGCAAGCTTTTATTATTTAAGTAAAGAATTGATTGTGCAACTGTTGCCTCTTATTATGTGGTTTGCAGCTGTATCTCTCTCAATCAAATATTACAAAACTATATCTACTGCTGATTACAAAAGGCAGTGTTTTCCCTGTCCCATCCTTAATCCGCTGTTCAACTTCTCTCAAAACACCTGCTGCTCAGAAGAATTACTTTACAGACATTAACCACAAAACAGACCCCTGATCATTATTTAAGGCAATTTGAACCATATAACATTCATGAAAGTCAGCATAGGAAGGAGTCACAGAGCCAAAAAGTCTGCCAAACTGATCATTTTCACTTAACCCTAGAGATGGGTTCAACCCCAAACCCGGCTTTGAAAGCTCTGGGATTGTGACAGTATTTGAAAACCAAATCCTGATCTCTGTTTTGCAGTTGGGACATCTCTTTCTCTCTCTAATTGCCAAACCAA